CAAGGTAAGTCATTCCAAGATGAGTTTAGAGGATGTTCACATTTTTACCATTTGGGGGTTAACTTTCCTGTCACTTGTAACAGCTTCATACCATTAATTTCAGTGTAGACGCTCATAAGCTGTGGGCTCCAAATTTGACTTCCCCACAGTTGAAATAGGTACCACAGGCTCATACTGGTGTTTATTCTAAGTTTGCTAAACACCCCCCTGGCAAACCCTGGCGAAATCAAGCTTATGCCAGCCCTCCTCCCTCCCAGAACTTCACCCTTCTCCACCCACCGATATTACCTGCCCAGGAAAAGCATGGCTTGCCAAAAAGGTTTTCACTTCAAAATGTGCCTGATTTCAGCGTAACAAACTTTTACAAAAGAGACTCCAAATGACCTCCCCTGAACAGCAGGACATCTGAACTACACGGCTGAGAAAGGATTTCCAAATTGCAAAAGGGAAAGGGCAGCAAACACTTCGGTGCTAGGCCCACAGACTTAGGACTATAGACTTTGTCCTATAGTCTTTGTACGGAGAATGACATCAGTCTTGACAGAAGTAAAAGCACTACTGGAGCCACAGAGCAAATCTTGTCCCACATACAGGTATTAAGAAACTTACTGTTCTTCTAGTCTAACCTTTCACAGCACACTGCAGCTATGTCCACAATGCATCACAAACTGTGTTTTATGAAAGGCTACTAACCAAAATGAAAACAAGTATGTTTCTGAGATGCCACTAACACCTGTCTTAATTGACACCAGCATGAGATGATAAGAAAGAATTAAATAAAAAAAAAAAAAAGAAATTCTGTGAGCAAACTTCACAAGAACTTGCTCTTCCACTTGTATGGAAAGTTTAGCAGGTTTGGGACAGGACACCGGCAGAGTTGAGGTGCTACATTCAACTTCCTGAACTGAGGCCACAAGAGACCACATTGGTTCACTGAGAAACAGTGGACAGTTTAGTAATTTCCAAATCTGTTCTTCAAGTTCTTAATTCTACTGTCTTCAGAGATGATGAACAACATACTTATTTCAACTTCTAATTTGCATTAGGCTGGAGCTTACACTGTTAAGGCAGAGGTGTAAAGGGTACGGCCAGCTACTCCCACTACGCAAACCAGTATATGGAAATTATCAGAACAGTATCTGGAGAGGGCACAAAACCCAGGAAGTCAGGTCTCTGGATTCCCCGTTACTATGTCAACTATTGCATAGGGTATTACATTTCCATCTAAGCACTGCCAGGGGTGGGTGCTGCAAGTGTTCACACACACCTGGGGAGGCCTTTTAAACGGTATCACTTGTGGCCAGCCTGGCACTCCCATGATTTGGGAAACTGACCCTGCCTTTTGCACACTCCATACATCACAGGTATCCACAAGCCAAGGCTGCGAGAGTCGGGGTTGTTCAGCCTGGAGACGAGAAGGCTGCGGGGAGACCTTATTGCAGCCAGCCAGGACTTAAAGGGGGCTTAAAGAAGGATGGGGACAGACTTTTTAGCAGGGCCTGTAGCGACAGGACAAGGGGTAATGGTTTTAAACTAAAAAAGGGTAGATTTCAACTAGAGATAAGGAAGAAATTTTTCATAATCAGCATGGTGAAGCACTGGCCCAGGTTGCCCAGAGAGGTGGTAGATGCCCCATCCCTGGAAACATTCCAGGTCAGGTTGGACGGGGCTCTGAGCAACCTGACCTAGTTGAAGATGTCCCTGCTCACTGCAGCGGGGTTGGACTAGATGACATTTAAAGGTCCCTTTCAGCCCAAAGATTCTATGATAAGCCCCGCAGATACAAGTACATGTGCAAGCGACAACCTTCATCATAACTTGATGACTACTGTGTATTCAACATGACGCACTATTTGGAAATTCCAGGTTAACTACTCACATAGTATCTCAACTCTAAATGGGGAGTGTGCCTGCTACATGCGCATCTGTGTTCGAGAACCTGCATGTGTACCTAATCCCATTTTGCACACGTGTGGTTATTTTGCAATGTTTTGACAGGTCTTTGCTCTTACATGACTTCTAAAGCAGAAAAGGGGAAAAAACAAGATAAAAATCAATCAGTTTTCAGTCCTCTTGGCAATGATGCTCTGTTGACAGCACCAAGTTTGATGGGACTTTATCAGAAGCTCAAACGCTTTGCAGGAAATAATAGAAGAAGGTAAGCATGTATTTAAGGCATATTCATGGAATCATAGAATGGTTTGGGTTGGAAGGGACCATTTAAGATCATCTAGTACAACGCCTGACACGTCTCAAGGGAATACTGAGGGGAATTACAAAGAACTGCCCACTACTTGACTGATACTAGGAAAATGATTCATTGCTTACAAAGAAAATTCTCCCTGGGGCTACACTTCTGTTTTTATTAGGTGGAAAGACCAGATGAAAGAACAGAAAACGTTGCAGTGACAGTTGCTAACAGCCCACTGCAGAAAACACACAGGGCCCCCGTGGCTGGCTGCAGCGTGGCTTTTATGGACAGGCGATCTCTTGGGGTGTGTCTACATGTAGATGGTTGCGATAGTTAAGGGGAATTAACTATAGGCATGAAATTGAAGCTCAGAAACCCCTTCATGTTCTCAATCAGAAATAAAGTGGTATTAAGTCTAGTGCAGAGGGGTGTGAACTGACTGACTATGCTCCACACCAGTGAGATGTGAACCAGCAGTGGCCCAGAAATCCAGTTAGAGATTAATTGTTTCTGCAGCATCTAAGCTGGCTTCTCTTAATTCTTTCCCAAGCTGCAATCATAGCTTTAAATTCGCAGTTGCTGAGGCAGATACAAATTACCCTGTCATTCTCACAGGCTAGGAGGCTGCGTTTTTTTAATAAACTTTTTTTTTCTTTTTTGAGAGGAGGGACAGGAGAGAAAACAACCTGGCTTAGTCATTTCTGAAATGACTGGGTAGTATACTCATACATGCTGTGAGAAGTTCAATAGTAATCTAGAGATGGGGACGGGAAAATGCAGACTGGCAGCTCACATCCTTGAGAGCGCAAGTCTTCAGATCAAGAAGGTTTATTGTCAAGGTCACTTGGGCTAAAAGACCCGTAGTGCCTACTATGTCTGAGAGGCAGCAGCACATATTGTCTATAGGATGTGGGCTGACAAAATTTGGAGAATTTTAATACTTTAAATGCATTAAAACTCAAATGTTCATCTCAAAGTTAAGCCATACCTTGCAGGTGACAAACACTGAGTTTCTAAAGCTCCAGCATTCACAAAGCCTGTGACTGTAAAACACTGCTGTTCCTTCATTGTATGGATTTGGTTTCAGCAGCCACTCAAAAATGCATCTCAAACTGCCAGTGCCCCTAACATTCCCATTTACTCCTCAGCGTTCCTCTAAAACCCTTTCAGATGCTTATTCTGAAAAATGAAGTAAAACATGTTGAACTGATTCTTGCTGCAATCTCAAGTGACGTCCAGAGAGCTCACAACTGCGCACGTCACAGCCTTCACTGAGGACTGCTGTTCGGTGGGGACTGTGATGCCAGATCTGCACGGCAGCATATTCTCTAGCTTGTCCCACAGACTCACCATTCCCTTAGCTCTAGGGACATGGAGCAGGTGCTGACCCCTTGTATCTGCCTCTCATATACTGAATATTCAACTCAGATTTTATCAAAGGAACCACAGTGATCTGTTGCAACAGGACTTTCTAAACCAGCAAAGAGGAGGCAGGATTTGGGTCCTGCACATTTCATGGTGAAATGCCATTTGGTGATATAGAGAACTCAACACAGTGATACTGAATCTCACAACTACATGGGACTGTTTCCCCTTCCTGACTTCCGAATTTTAACACCAATGCCTCATATAGCAGAAAATACAAAGGTTCTGATGTCTCCAGTGCCAAAAGTTTCTGCATTAAAAATGAAATCTTGATATTCTTTGACAGACACAGAACCTAAATGACCCTCTCCCACATCAGGAGATGGGCTCATTAGTGCAGTATGCATTGGCAGTTAAGCACCAAGGAAGAGAAAAAGCTGACCTTGCAGCCACAATGCATTCATTCAGTTACTTTGGTGCTCATGTCTTCCTCTGTATAGGACTTGCCCAGAAGCAGTTAAGATATATACAGGCAGTTTTTTAAGCTGCAGCATATTGGAAGAAGACTGAAAGCAGTAAGGAGTTCAATGCAGCTCTGAAACTGTCTTGCATGATTACTCTGTCTTCAAAAACCAAGTCAGGCACAAAGGGAAATAAAAATAACCAAGGCTGGAGCTTTGATGCTTCAAGAGAGGAAAAAAAAAAGTCTGTGGCCTCTTTTCCAAGCACAAGTGAAAAACTACATTAACTAAAAAGAGTGCTTGGCCCATGCACTGTGCCATACTGACAACAGCAACTGCAATTTAATCAAAAAGCCTCTATTGGCAAAGCATGGCACCTTGATGGTACCTTTTAGTTCATACACATTCCTCCCTCAGAGGAATGAATTTGCGTGTTAGTTTGCAGAGAACTATATTCCCTGCTGACGTTAAATCTTACAACTCCACTGCAGTCTGATGAGCTGTACTAGTAATTACTAGCAGGGAGTTTGTCCCAAAATCTCTGGGTGTGAACCAGGGCACACTTAAAAAAGCATTTTCTCACTCTGTCACTCCCACCCCCATCCACCCATATCCTGGACTAAATTACAAGAAAACTGACTCTTCTCCATCATTCCCATTAAGTGATCTTAAATTATTCAAATGACTGGTTAAGCTCCAGCCTTATTAATTCAAGCAGAAAGTGTGGAAGAGGGAAGACTGACAACAGACACAGCAATTCACTTCCTACATCCTAGCAAATATATACAAGGAGTCCATTTTCCAGAAATTCAACTGGTATGTCCTGTAAGTGAGCAGAGTGCCCACCTTTGCAGATTGTATCACACGAGGAAGATGCCATTTCAAAAGAGTGCCAATTAAGAAATAGTTGTGTGAACAACTTAATGTGACCATGGGAATATGTTACCAAGGGCTTCTCCTTCACTACAGAGCATCTATCTATCTGTCTTCCTCTCCATATATATACACATATATACACATACATACACGCACACACATAGATAGATGGGTAGATATAAATACATGGGCGCACACACGCAAACACACATACATATATATATATTTTTATATATATATATATTTTTTTTCTTTTCCAGTTCTTGGAGCGGTTACAACTACTTTAGTCTACAAGGCATCCTAAGGGCACTTCCTGGCTCTAGCAATAAAGTCCATCATATTGTGGAGAGAAGTAAAGGGAATATCACTGAGGGAGAACAGAACAGTTTCCTATCTTGTATAGTATCATGTAACAAGTTGACACCTCTGAAAACCATCATTGTTTCTGAGCCCAGGTATTTTCTCCCTATGTTACAGGAGAGCAAATGTTCATCTTGTTCAGTTGCTGTGTACAGAGGTGCCACTATGAGATTTTCCCTTTTTGGTGACAAGTAGTTGCTTCCAAATAGTTTGGACTGTATGATACAATATCCTATGCATCATTTTTGTTGGTTTGTTTAAAGGCAGATTAAAAGAGTTTTGCTTTTTTCTTCATGTCGTTGCGTCTCCAGAGAGGTAACTTGTCAAACTCCTGTATCGTCATGCCAAATATTTCTTGAAAAACCTCAGGTGCTAAGTGACGCTTTAAAAAAAAAAAAAAAAAAAAAAGAGGAGGGGGGAAAAAAAAGGAGAAAAGGCAATGGTCAGTCAAAGCCAGAGAGACACAATGGAAGATAGGAGTACCGTAGGGGTTTCATGTCACTGTGTAAGAGCCATTGCAGGAAATAATAATGCTTTGGCAATACCCATATCCAAGTCCTCATCAATTCAGGTGCTCAATGAATCAATAAAATTTTGCAATTTGTTAAGTCTTAGAAGTTTACAAAGGAAATCAGGAGATCAGAAAAATTATTTGTCTGAAGCCACCCAACAAGCAGTGATAGACCAGAGAACAAAACTAGCTCCTGCGCGCCCATGTCCCAGGCTTTAGCTAGTCACCTCTGCATACGTATGGAAATTCAGACACAGGAGAGCTTTGCAAAAGGGCTGCAGGTTGACATGTTACATCTGAAGTTCTGAGAAGGAAGATGTCTGGCCAACCATTTTTCTACTGCCAATGAAACATTTTTTTGTGCGGTCTTGTGCACAAGTTACTTCTTGTTCAGCTGGTTTAGAGTGCACTGGATGGGGAAAGTGTCTCCCTCTGTCACTAATGTAACACAGCACTGAATTCTGATTAGTGATCACATATCTACTAGTCTAAAAATACGGATAAATGGTTACTTACCCAAATTTTTGTGGCCTCTTCCATGCATCTCCACAGAACATTAACTAACTACAAACAACTTAAGACATCCCCAGCCCTCTGCTGGGCTGCTTAAGTCTTTCTAATCCACAAAGCTGTAAACAATTTTTATTTGTTGGCAGAAATTTAAATCCTCATATTTCTGGGTATCAGCCAGTCTAACTCACAGGACTCACAGGTAAGTTAAAGTTAGACTTTTGATCTTCAGGGATGGCTGAGACTGACTCTTAGCTTAGAAATGATCCAAGATTAAACATTCCAATATGGATCCTATGACTAAAAAACACTTCGGGCTTTTTACCAATTTACAAGTATATAATTAATTGCTTGAAAACACAAGGGGGTTGTGAGAAGCTAAGTCCAGCAGCAGGGAGACAGAGATGTGGGACTCCTGGCCCAGCACTGCTCACGGAGATGCGGCTGCTTCCTCCCCGTCTGACTCCTCCTTCCCTGCTTAGGGCTGAGAAATCTTCCCAGTCTAACAAGGACCCACACTTCAGTGTTTGAGCTTTCAAATGTACAACAACAAACAACTGCAGCAGGAAAGAGCATTTAGGAACTTGCTTCTCTTACCTCAAGCCTGGTTCTGTCTACATCTTTTAGTATTTTATTTCGCCCTCTGTTGGTCACCATGAGCATTTCATATGGAAAAATCTGTTCAAACAATGTATAAAAGGGGGAAAAAGAAATGTATTTACATTCTAAAGCAAAAAGAACACAATGTGTCTCGTTTTCATAACCACACAAACATTTGGTTTCCTTTCCAAAGGAAATCATAGCAGTTTTGTCCCCTACGTTGCATGAAAGAAAAGCCAATCTGGACATAGCAAGAACATATTTAGTATCAAACTGCCTCATATTGTAGAGCCACTGTGTACTTGCCCACCCCACTGATTTTTATGGTGCATATAATGCAGCTACTTTGGTAAGACAGTCCTCTCTATTCAATATACCTTCTCATCCAGCAATGTATAAACTCAAGAGTTTATTAAGGTAAATATATTTGGCACTCATTAATCTAGCTGATGGTTGCCGAAGTGTGGACAGCTCTGAGGAAAGACACTTAGTGGACTTTTGAAAATGAACCGCATCAAAGTACATCAGAAAAAGCAACAACTCTGAATAAGCAAGATATTGATTAGTGGGGGCCACTGCATTCATCAAGATCCATCACATGGTTTTCTTTGCCTTTTTGCATAGTTGAAGAATTTAAACAACTGCCCACTGTGTTTGCTGGCTGTGCAATATATACATGGATTAAAGGAGATACTTTCATAGACATATTTGTCTTACACACCTTCATCTACTTCAGAAAAGTGTGTGTCCAGCACATCTCCCACTAACGTTTCCCTTGCTTTCCCTTTACATTGCAGAGAATGTCCAGAACTTACACAAAGCAGTTATTGGCCAATAACCAGTTCCTAAATGCACAAATGATTTTACCTTTGTTTTACAGGCTCTTTGAAGTAAAATGTTTACTGTCAGTGGGTCCCAAATCAGTTTAACCCAACAGAAACAATGCTGCTTAGAAAGGATTTCAGAAAACCATGTGCCTTAAAATCAGTTTCTGGAATCATCCCTGGCAAATAAAACTCTGTTTTGGGACTTTTTCCCTTGGGCAGCCACTTCCACAAATGCCTGGAATGACCTAGGAGAGCTCACGTTGCGTCTGACAGAGCCTCCCTATAGCCCTCTCATTGCATGTCTCTGCAGAGTAGGGTAACAGCATTCCCAGTGAGGTCCTCATCCAACCCCTGCTGAAGTCAATTCAGTTCTTCTGCAGACTTCAGTGGGGATTGGCTCAGCTTTTATTGCTGCTTATGGGTCTTGTTTTACTTGCCCACTGCGAACAAGACTGAGACCACCAAAACTCTCCCTGAGAGACATCTGAGCTATTATCAAATGCTATTAATTAAATTATTTTATCATCAGAAGAAATTTAACTTAATCAACTTCTGTGCAGAACTAGGCAATTAAGTTCATTCCATTGTCAACAATTATCCCAATGAACTTTTCAGAGATATAATAAATAAGATTCAGGCATCAATCAACACACCACTGAGTTTATTGTAAGTAATAATAATTTAAATAACGTGTGCTTACATACCAATTGTAAGATATGATTCTTAGGAGATTCTGACATTGTCACAATTGTACAATTAAGTCTATGCTTTGAATTACATTGTTTATGTTTGATACTGGAAACAGCTACCATATACAGCATTATAGGAAACAAGGTCTACAGTCGTAAGTACATTCTATATTTAGGTATTCACAACATGGCATGTCTCAGTCTGGGGTGGCAGGATGCACAAATTCTGTCCTTTCTGGAGAACCATTTGGTAAGATTTGGTCATTCTTAAGTTTACTAATTTTCATTTTTCACGTGTTTCACGCTGACTTTGAGTTGGCTTCTTTTACTTTATCAGGTTTAAGTTAGTGTTGGGACCATTGGCATGGATAAAAATACTGCCAATTCACACAAGCTGAGGGTCTGGCATCACCTTTATAAACATCAAAAGAAAGAGACCTATCTCATGAAAATTCCCATAAACTTTATCACTAATAATACTGACAGAATTTGTCACCCAAAATAACATTCCAAATCACTGGGTGCATCAACAGCAGTGGTGGCTGTAAAAATTTCTATTGCACTGAAAGAGAAATTATTTGGAATAAAAAGTAGTACCTCAGGAATTGGAGACATCCCCAAGGTCTTATTTATATAATATATAAAAACACTTGTTAATATACATTGCAATGATGTCTCAGCTTATAAAGCTAGGGTTATTGCCCAGAGGTGACTAATAAGCTAGAGGTTATTGCCTTGTCTGGAGGTGACTCGGAAGCATAAGTAGTAGTCTGCTTTGCAAAACGAGCTCCTCGCTTAAGTGCAGAAATGCTGATCCTTGTAACTTCAACAAAACCATGATTTCTCAGAAGGTTCATCAGCAATACAGAAAGTTGTAAGATTTAAAGCACAGCCCTGGTTGAATCCCCTCTATCTTACATTCATTTTTGACTCTCATATCTCTAGACATAGCTGCAAAAGCATTTTAATTTATATCTTAAATTATATTCAGCTGATATTGCCTCTTTTTCCAATAAATCTCCGGAAGAATTTTTTATATAGCGAATTCAACGTTATAGAAAGATGTCAGGCTAACAGTTCTGAGAGCTAAAGAACAGACCCAGATAGACATGTAGGTATCTAACTTCCAATCTGAAACAGAGATCCATGTATTTCATTGATTTTTAAATCAATACAGTCTCAACAGTGTGTTGTGAGCCACAATATTCTGCATCACTTTTCCAGCCTGAGAGATCTGAGACTTTCCCCATCCAGTTTGGCCTGCTGTTTTGGCTAGTGGAAGCTTGACAAGAGAACTAGCTATTGAGAATCTTCACTACCTTTGTTTTGTCTCTGGAAAAGCCTCCTTGACCCAAGAAGCCCACAGCCTGCCTGAGTACTAACACCTGTAACAGGCAAAGTCCAGAACAAAGGGAGAGGTTTGGCACGTAAGGAGCAGGGACTGAGGGGAGGTGAAGAAAAACAAGGGAACTAAGTAAGACATTTCCTGTATTTTATCTGCATTTCACAGTCAAATCTTCACTATCTTGAAGGAAAGAATAACATCTGCACTTGCCTTTGGCTCCAACATGTTAGGCATAGATACTCCTCTGTCCATTCTCATTCCAGGGACATGACCATCCGGAAGGGACTGCATCAGATACAGGTATACATCAGACACACAGGTTACACACACAGAGGGTAAAGGCACTCAAGTAGTGGTGAAAACAAAGGTGAATTTGCCCTGAGACTTCCTTCCAGTCTAAATATTTGGTCTTATCACATAGATCATTGCCATGGCTACTGTTTACCACTTCTCTGAGGCATGCAGAGGGATCCTTCGATCCCCTCAGCCACCACAGCCTTCTGTCGCTGCTAAGGCTGGCGATAGTTCCCCGCCGAGCCTACCAACACCACTTCCCAGTGGGGACCCCAAGAGAGTGGTGGGCTCTTTCCCACCCCCGTGACTAAGTAGGGTTCTTCTCTGGACAAATACACAGAAGCATTAATTCAGATCCCACCCAGCAGCATACAAAGCAGTATTACACCTTGGGGCTTTCCTTCCTGTCACTTACTGTATCAGTTGAGGGATTTTTTTTTTTGGTCTCTATAATGGGAAATTTTTACTACGAACACAAACAGGGATAGGGTAAAAAGCTGCTGTTTTGATGCAGGTACTGTTCCTAACAAAATGTTTTGAGCACAATACATGGACAACTCCTCTCTCCTCTCATAATCTTACTCTCTTTCCAATCATCATAATTTTGATACACCATTAACGAAATTATCCAGGTAATTAAACCCTTTCTTAAATTGCCATTTTGTATTGTGATTGTGCTGAGGAGCCAGACAAACCATTCTGGAAAAACCCCTGCAGACAAAATTTGGAGTAAAAGGGTTTATATTTGCAAACACACCTCTTACTGGCTCAATCTGTGATGGCAGCACTGTAGAAAACTATTGACCAGCCATCTTGTTTGCAGAGTAAATTCCAGGGTGAAAATGAGGGGTTCAAGGCTCCTGGTATGCGAGAAAATTGCCTCCAGAAGAGACTTTCTATCTGTCTCTGGGGTTGGTACTAGAGAGGCTGGAATTAAATCCACCCTCAGCTGTCCAGGGAGGACTATTACAAATAACTCATATATCAACAGACAGTGGATTTTACAGAGCAAGTCACAGAACTGGTGTGAGCTCTCTCAACCCAGCTCTGGGGAGTTAATAAGGAGGAATCTGAGGCTGTGCCTGTTTTTTGTTGATAAGAATCTACATTTGTGATTACTCTTAAACATGCAGGAAAATCAAAGCTATTGTCTTATGAAACCCTTCCCTGTAGCAGAAATTCAAACTTCAACAAGAAAGTAGATGCTTTTAGTTCTGTTGTCAGTTGATTGATGAAAACCCGTACTCTACCTGGAAATCTGAAAAGCAAAAGAGAAATCTCATCAGCTTTAGAGTGCAGAAGAACAGGAATCAATCACAATCTACCAGATAATCCTTGTGTCTTCTGGTCTACCTGATCTTTCAAAATCCCATCCGATTCTCTAGGGCCAGCAACCTTCCAACTTTTAGACTTAATTTGTAAAGAGTCAAACACTCCAAACATTGCAGCCCTTTTCATTTTGAGCAGGCTTCTCATTCAGGAAAATCAAGTCACTTTGGAAATACTGAGAGACACAAAACCACAATCAAGTGAATAAATAGCCAACTAAAATTCAAATATATAGAGTGGGATTCACCTCACCTAACCTCTGCCATCAGGTAGCTGTCTAGATTCCTCCACAGGCTATAAGGAGACACAAGCACCAACAGAAGATGCCTGATTGTAGGGTATCTAAAGTAGTCGGGATCAATCTCACTTTGGAGATAACTAGCCTCTCCCTCTCCCTCAGCTTAAATCATTTCAAAACATTAACTCTCAAAGTTTTGTAACTTTCATAAATATTGTCAATTTTTATTAGGCAGTGACTGATATCACATCTTGCTCAAAGTCATAATGAAAATCACGAGCAGCAATGGGGATTAGAAGGCATTATCCTCCTTTCTTCACTGTGGCACATTCTTTCAGACTGTGCAGTGGATGGTAATTTTCAGAGAAAGAAAACATCATAAAAGAACTCAGTACATATTCCTGATAATAGACGTTACCTGCTTTCCATTTGCACCAATGCTAAAGCAGTCCTTTGGCATAAACAAGGATCAGCTCCACACAGCAGATTTAGCAAAATAAACCCAAACTTTTAAATAGGTATTTGCAGAGTTTGAGTTAATTATTGAATTTACCAGAGGAAGTTAAAATCTACTGAGCAAATGCAAAGTAACTACATCCACAACCTTAAAATAAAACAACCAAAATCATCAAATATCGTAACAAGTTCAGTAATGAAGTGGCACGTAAAAAAAGGCTCCTCAGCCTTACCTCTAACACCACCACTCACATCCCCGTAACTGTTGTACTGACCAAAATCTGTAGACACCGGCTGTAAGAGAAAAAGAGGGACATGCACATAAATTCACGGTTCATGACTTGACAAGCAGGTTGGTATATGAGGAGTGACACACTGCTTCAAGCATTTTTTTCTCCTCAATTTTCACAACATTTCTTGCATCGCTTTCTTGCCTTTTTAACAATGTAGTTTGTGGGAAGGGAAATTAGGTTTTGTCTGACTTCAGATGGTCTTACTAGAAAGCTTGATCAAACTGAAAATCCAGTACTGTTAATATGGAAATAAATACCATAGATAATTAAAGCCACCTTTTGCTTCTCAAAATCACAATCTACTTACTCTGTGAAGTCCATTTTTTCCATAGCCAGGGAGTGAAGAGGTTTTGGAGGCTGAGGCATGCGCTGTTGAATGAGGAAGGGAAAAAATTGAAAACAAGAGCATTTGAGGAATCAACTAGTATAAAAAACAGTTAAAAGAGCTAAGCATATACATAACCAACTGAGACACACTGACTTTAAGAAACTAACATTTCAGCCCCAAACTCATCACAACCTTCCCTACATTCTGTAAGTTACACACAGCTTTATCATGCTTTGGTGGCAGGTCATCAAGAAGGGACACTGTGATTTTGCCAGGCTCAAAATCAAAGTGTTCTCCACTGAGTTTAAAGTAATGCTCAAGGATCAGACAACAGAGCAAAATAAATAACTCTTTAGTCCTTAGCTAGGCAAAGTATTATTGTGCATCTTATGATAGGATCAAGATAAAGGACAAGGAGAATTCAAGATGGACAGTATTTGACTGGATAGATTCCCTGTTAAGTCTCCCATGCAGGTTCATTCAATTCCACTCTCCTAAGTGGCACACACGGTTTATATATCATCATACCCTCTGAACCTTTCATGAATTTCCTTTCTATCCTTCCTACAGCAACTATTACTGCATTCATTCATGCTCCCAGCTTCTGCTGTTGCATAAGCCAAGATACATATGACTAACACTCCATTCTCTCTGTATTCACATGCTTCAGCTTGCCATTTTTGCTACGAAGAAGAAAAGGCTATTAGTTTTCATCCTGTAACACTGTAATTGACAGATGCTTTGGTACTGACTTCATCAGGAGAATGATCAGTAATGGGCAATGCTGAGTGAGTTTGAATGAGTTTGTGAATTTGGCATCCTGATCCAAAATTATAGCTATCCCATGCATGACGTGACACTTCTGAGAACATGACATGATTCAACAGAGCTCTGTGACTCCTGATTTCATATAAAATGAAAGTGAAATAATGCATCTGGGGGCATTTAACTTAGCATTTGCACTGACCTCAGAAACTGCACGAGAAACATAAAGAATGTGGAAATGTCAAGGGTATGTTTTCAAATACAGATAAAAAGATGGATAAATAGAAAGATTGTCAGCATAATGATCAACAGCAACTCTACAGTTAATACAGCCCATTCAGACAAGATCCTCCATATAAGAATTCAATTTTTGTTTTTTTAAATGTTATTTTTACCACAGAGGGCAGGGAACATAAAACTTGAGGCAGTGTTGTTGCCAGCAACAACAAGTTTTGGGAAAGGTACCACTGATTCCACAAAAGGCAACTGATGACTGCACTGATTATCACTGCAAGAGGGATGGACACATCTCCAATAACGGAGTCCTCTCACCTGTGTTAAGGTTAATAAAAAACCATAAGCCCTGAGCTGAGCAGGTAGACTCTAGCCCTGTAAACATTACAGGTAGTGAGGGACAGCCACAGACATTCTCTTCAAGACCGTAAATAGAGGCAACACACTTATGCAACAAGGAACACAAGGAAATCTTAGTTTGCTTGGCAGCTACTCTGGTGGATGACTCCAAAGAGACTTATCTTGTCCCTTCTTTGCTCGAAGAACAGCTGCTGTGCTACAGTGACCAGTGTGAAGAGAGTGAAGTAAAACCCCCAAGCCCCTCTCTGGAGATCAGAAAAGGCCACAGATATACATCAAAAAGTGCAATGAGGCCAAGAACCTAAGCCACCAATTAACCAAAGTTGACTTTTGTGCTTTTGCTCTGGAACAGAATACACACAATCAAAATGCCAGCCAAGGCCGAAACACTGGCTGTGTTTGGAATACGCAGCCCCAATGGCAAATGTTGCTAATTTTTTTCTCCCCGGGAGGAGAGACTAAACAGTGATAGGAACCACCAGTTTAAGCAAAATGTCTTATTGTAATTTAATAACCCAGACTATTAGCATATCTGTGATGTAATAGTCACTGAATATTTTACCTCACTCCCTATCTATCTTAGAAAATCACTCTCCTCAAAATTGTCTGAAAATCCTTAACCTCATATTTCTTCCAACGAAAAACCAACTATGATGCTCCTCCCCTCACCAAAACCAGCTAAAGAATTAGGCCAGTTTCAGGGGAGAACATCACATATACACATATCAAGCTGTCTTCCCAGTGGTGTCTTTTCTGAGAGACTGCTTGATATGTGTATATGCGGTGTTCATTAATTCACTGTTCATTATTAGCTTTATTGCCTACGTGAATTACCTGGAGAATCATAACGACTGGCAGAAAGGGCTGACCTATCGCGACTCTCCTTTTCCATCTCTTCTTTCAGTATCAATTGTCCCAGACCAGAGTTGAGCTATAAATGGCAATTAAAAAAATATATCAATAAAACAAAGGTGATCGAGGCATTAGTAGAAATTCGTTACAGAAAACAAAGGGACACTTTTTGGATGGTGTTCAGAAACAGCATGAAGACAAGCTTATAAACACCTTCATGAGCTGCTCCTCCTGCAGTTGCCGGCGTCTCTGTAGTTCCTCATCATCTTCCTCTCTTCCACTTGATCTGCGTCTCATGTCAGCTCCTGCTTCCACAAAACCACAGTAGAGAGAAAGCTTTGTGTATCAGTTCAACCGCAGCTTGAAAATTTCTATGCTAGAAAGTACTGGTCATTTTGATTTACTGAATAAACAAAGCAGTACTTTCCTGCAGACTCAAAAGACTTTTTCAAAAAAATCACCCTTCATAAAACTCACTCAGATAGCCTGCCCTATGGCTATCAGGCCTCTTATAAAATTAACAAGAAGTTAAACCGCACATGGGTTCCCAACTAAGCAATGGTCCTGGATACAAAAGCCATAAGTCACTGTAATAGAAAAAAGGAGCTCAGATTGCTAGTTCTGGAAACGTGGGGTTTAATGGCACCAGTAACTACCCGTGGTTGAAAACAGAAAATCTGATTTACATTTATACTTTTATCTAGACTCAGAAAAGCGAATCTGAATTAACTCTGCAAATGGAAAATGAAACTACATTAATCTCCTAAAGGGACACTCATATTTACAAGGCATTATTTTTAGTCTAAAATGCACACTAATTTGTGTTCTACATTAGTTTCTTACTTTTTTTTTTAAATAATTTTTATTTTCTTGAATAGTCTTAAAAAATGGTCCAATTTGGACATCAGGACACTTCCATGAATACATAGAATATGATATTGCTGCAAGCATTTAGACAGCAGTTCTATTTTTTTCTGCACAGGCTATATCTCGATATAGTCATTTACCAATCTTATGCTAGGCAAACTCAGTGCTTTATTTGAATGAAGACTAAATTTTGCAACTAAAGTATCATAAGGTTTATATCAATTAAATGTTTTGTACGGCAGTGTTAAATTGATGCTCATATAGAGAGGGAAGAAAAAGCTATGGGGAAATTATTTGCCCATATTTAGATTATTATTTTCTTTGGTGTCTCAGGCTTTTGCACGACTTTTTAGTACAATAGCAGTAATACTCATTTTTTGGACTTCTGAGCTCATTCTGGCTCTGTAAGCAAAGTAACACAGAAAGTCAGACAGCAAGCCGAAAAAACTGGGGCTTGTGGGTTTGTTTTTTAGTGATTAATCTTGTATGATGCTGCCTTATTTCTGAATAAAATAGGTCCATGAGCACATTTTTATCTGTATAATTTCCAAACAGTCCTGTTTAGTTTCTCAGGTATAACGAAATCACCTGATAGCCAATATACAAAGCAGTTATACTGGAAACAATTAGAAGTTGTCATCCACTGCCTAGAGACTAAGCTGAGAGACAAAATTTCCAACAAAGGCTCCACCTCAGACATATGGCATAATGCTGCTGTAGTTATCACCAGCATTGTCAGGAGAGTTTCAAGGATGTCGGAGTTATCACTGTGACTATAGTGTTTGTCAGGTTGCAATCCCATATAAAGGACTTTTTAAAAAAATTGCCGCTGCATATGCAGCCCCTTCAACTGGTCATTGAGTTCTCCCACCCTGTCTCTCCTCTCCTACCACTTCTATGAAAATTCCATTGCGCTGACAACCATACGCTCCTTCACAAAAACCTGAAACAGGCAACACCTTCAGTGTTTCAGACGTAACTTCAGAACCAGGCTAGATAGTTTATTTTATGCTACAGGGGTCAATAAAAATTAACAGAGAAAAAAAACACAAAACAACAAAATAATTTAAAAATGATCATGCACATGATTTAAAGAAATGAATGATGATACCTGTAGTGCAACAACACAGAAGAAAAATACAAAGTCTGTATATACAGTAACTCTGAAAACCAGGACATTCTTAGCTCATTAACTGTTCCACTTCAGTCTTTGCTTCTTGCCATGAGAATAGTCATGTGGTTGGAAGCAATCATATTTTCTGTGGAATATTTGCTATTAGCTTAGGACTAAAAGATTAAATAGACAATAACTGAAAGAAGTCAGGCTTGTGTGACACACCACATTTTTTAAGCTATTGCATGGGAGTTCATGTAATTTGTCTATAGGTTAATATCTGTGTGATCAATTCCAAAGTCTTCTAGCAAAACCTCTTCTACTCAGTACTATTCAATAGTTTTAAATTCACAGACACTTGGAGGTCTCACCAGAAGACCTGCGCTTCGTGGTGAACACCTGGAGTGGACACAATCTTCACTACCCATTTTTACAGCTCCAGTATTAATCTACTTTGGTTACCAGTACCTTTTAAGACGCATCGCTTGTATCTTTTTTTTGCATACCTATGGCTGCAAGGGAGGGAGGACCTGGCCAGTGGTCCATCTCAATCTTTGGTATCTCGTTGGGTGCTGGTGCATGAGCTGCTGGGAACTTGGAGGACTTGATGATATCCTCGGAGGACTTGCTCTGTGCTGCCAAAGCAGCTGCATCTAGATGGCAATCAGGGAACTTAGCTATGTAATATAAAGGTCTTCCTTATTTTGGCAAAATTTAATAATTTACAAGAAGTTGATTTTCAAAAGAAACATTTTCACGTTTTCCTTTTCTAATTGCAATTTGAAGTAAAGTAATGTCTTTCTCTTGCCAATAGACTGGAATCAAACTTTCCTTTCCTCCCTCATCCCCATCCCCAAAATAACCCCAAATTAACTTTGGATTTTACTAGGGTTGCACAGTGTTCGAATGATTAGGCAAGAGTAAGAAAATTCAATCTAACAGTATTTGTCAATATCTCCTAAGGACAGCTGATTATTAATGAAGATGAAACCAGATTTATATACTGATCTGTCTTCCCTCCAGGGCAAGAAAATATTAGTTCACAGGAACAGCATTAATTTTAGCTTTACTCATGCTAATTATTTCCTATGTTTCTGTAAAAAGCTGCAAAAGAAACAAAAAAAAGGATTCTGAAACAAATATGTTTATTTAATCAGTGGATTTTTTCTGCTGCATGCCCTTGCTTATTAGCATGCAGTAGCAGTAAAAGCAGATGTGAATTCATTAATAAATACTAAACTCCATTCAGATCCTGGCAGGGAAAAGCACTTGCAATGAAATGAACCCCACCAATAAAATATCTCATCAGTGAGGCATCCACTTAAGATTCCCGTCTAAGCCAAAGTCTCTTAAAAGCATGTGAGGATGTACACTATGGCTTTCACTTCTTGCCATCTAAGAGGATTTAGTTTGCATTAAAACCAGCCTTAACTACTTCTTATATGCAAACTGTTAGCTCAAATCACTTTCTCTTCATATAAAACGATCGTATTCAGAGGCAAGGACTCTGGACTTTTCCCTCTCCTCTGTTTTATTAAACAGAGACACATCTGTTAACGAAGTGAAGCACCGTGTTGCTCATCCAACATGTTCAGGGTAGTTTAGGAACATCAGTATTAGATATCATTGGGAATTCTCAGCATTTTATGATTGGGAAACTAAGCATAATTGCAGGTATGGAGGAAGCTGGTCAGAGTTTACAAAAGCATGACTTCAAACAGTACTTACGTATTAGAATTGGTGATGTCAGTGGTTAAACATTCACATGTTAATGGGAGGTGAGGAGATACATTAAAACCATAAAAATAAACAAAAATAATGTTAAGACTTTTTCCAAAATGAGCATATGGTTTGAAACTTAAAAAACAAAGAGGAAAAAACCCTCACGTAAAACCACAGCAGTGTTATTTGCAATGCTCACTCCTGACTACAGAATGGACTTCCTGGGCTTCTCAGCTCAATGGCTCTCAGCCAACTGTTCATCTAAACCCTGCAGTACTGCTAATTTGCTACTTAACCCTAAATACATTTAATTGGATAAAGGGTCTGCAAAGGGATAAAAACTCAAAGTCTTCAAAAAGTGGAGTCATCCGTCTTTCACCACATTACACAAAAATCATCTCCTATTCAAAGTTTTCTGTTAAAAGCAGAAGAGAAGAGTGAACACACTCTTGTTATAACCAGGATCTTGCTCTGCTGTACTAAAGACTGGTAAGGCAGTGAGCTTCTGCCATCATTCTTATTTCAGACTTGCTGTAACAACATCTACACAGAAAAGATTAGAGCACTAACACTGCTGTCCAACTCAGAATCCAAACACTTGGAAAAACAAGTACAGCATACTACCTGAGCTGTATCACAGGGCTTGAGAATCAAATTAGCCCTGTCAGTGATAAGTCATCTATATTATCTTCAATAATTAAATAATAACATCTCCACCTTTGCTGTTGAAATGAAATATTGTACTTTGTCTGTTTAAAATAAGGATATTCCATGAAGTTCCCATGAGAAAACATTCTGTTTTTAATCCATTTTAACATGATCAGTACCTGTATTCTGAAAATATAAACTTAAAGAGGTGAAATACAGGAAGGCATCATAATGCTAAAGAGACAGCAAAATCCCAGTTAATGGCAATTTTTCCATTAATATCAATGTGGCCAAGATTTAAACCATACGATCCAAATGAAACAACATGCTTTAAAACATAATTACTCAGCAGGACATGCAGTAACAGCTGTTTCAAGCTTGGACTACTAATTTTTAATGCTTGCAAAGTAAAAACTGAATGCTTTTCACTAGTCTGCATGCCTTTTAATTTAGTTGACACTCCAGTTTTGAAATGAAAAGGGAAAGATCATTTACCATGTTGTTTGTAGATGGGTGGTTTTCTGTAAATGTTGACACCTTGATCTGTGAAATTGAGAAACAGAAAAATGGGAATATGAAAACTGCTTCACTTGTAGATAAAGATAACTCCAACACTAAAACAATAGACAGACCAAATCAAGGATGTAGCACAAAAAACAGCCAGAAGGCTATTTCAGTATTACAGCAAATCAGATTATTAAGAAAAGAAAACATAACAACAAGTGAAAAGTCAAAGACATGTGGGATGAAGTCCTTTGGAGCTGATTCTGTAACATGTGGATGCATCCAAGTCATGAACCATTCATTTTCAACATTCAGAAGATTATCAGTGGAATACAAGTTACAGAGGAAATGCAAACAAGCAAGACATTTCAACGGTGAAGATACAAGCCTTTTGGAGAAAACTACCCCAAATAACTTTTGTGGAAAACTGTGCTTCAGTCACATCAGCTCAATTTTCTTCCCAACTGACTGGCTGGGTTGAGCACAGGAGAATGCAGTGAGCCTACAATTTACCTCAAAAACCAGAGAACAAAAGAGCTGCCTAATATGCTGTTGTTGTCTGTTCAAAAGTTACACTTCAGTGAGTCAAAGGGATGCTTTATGAGTGTTAACTGATACACTACTAAAATTCTCAAACCACAAGGATAGATTTTATTTCTTTTTTGTATTTTTTTTAATGTAAGGCCCACCAGATTGCACAGTATCAATGTAAATCTGAATAAAAACACCTCCCAGAACTCTAATGCAGTAAATCTACAGCATGTCTAAAAGATACTTTACAAATAATTATCTAAGACAGAAACCAGTTTGTTCCAAACTACTTCCCCACCCAAGCCAACACTTCATGTATTAGGCATAGCTACAAATACAGAAGTTAATCCAAAATGAGTGCTACAATGCAAAACCTGTCAAAATATTACTAGAAAACCAAAATGGATACGGAGAACTAGAAAATTAATGTCAATTTTTCTTTTTTTCTACTTCATACTGCCTGAAAAAAAGTTTTCATTTACATCAGAATGAAAGATGAAAAAGCATTTTAGAAATACATGCTGTGTATCGCAGATCCAATTAAAGTACTATAGCAGTCAACTTAGCCTTTGGCATTAAGGAAAGCTAACCCTAGAACTCTGTGGAAACAGAGGCAAATCTTACTCAGTAGAACCCTACGTCCTCGACTAAACAGGCAAATCCGTTGCACACAAAGACACTGAAGTATTTCACTCTTGTTAGTGATCTGTTATGGCTACTTGACCAGCCAACAGGTATAAATGTTACAAGGGTAGTCATGCAGTGCTTTTGCGCACATCTATACCAGAAAGCTAGAAGGAGGACAAGAACATGGCTCCTTCTGGGGCTGCACTGTGCCAGCTGAAGTGGACAGGTCTCCCACCATGCTAGAGAATATTACTCAGAGCTATTCATGCAAGTGTGCTTTAGCTTACGCAAGTCAAAGTGAGCCAGGTTAGCTTAAGCAGTTAAAACAGTCTACCTTAGCCAAGCCAGGTCACACTGACTGAAAAGGGATTTCCCACAAACAGTTTATCTGCCAGATCTGAGGGAAGAAGGAAGAGCAGTAGCCTCTGGCAGTGCGAAGGCATACTAGACTGAAGGGGACCTGAAGAGTAACTGGATATAATAAAGCTTTCAGCTAGCACTGATGCAGTCAGAAGATGCATGTCAACAATGCTAGGGACACACCACTCTCATCTCATCAAAATGCAAGACAGATGAGCTTCTCAGGGGTTGGAAGAACTGTGCAGCTCACTTCGAAAGAGAGCCTGCCCTTTACAGAGAGGACATCCTGAGGTATACATATCCTTGTGGATCTGCAAGTCTCCCTGAGGGCACCAAGCCATTGCACAAAACAAGTAAAGAAACATCCTCATCTGCTTTAAAAAAAGGGAACATTAAACTAGAACTGCTTGGTTCAAGACTGAAATAAGTCACAATAATCTGAATGAACAACATATGTAATGTCTCACTGGTCAACTCTTTTCTGCGTGCCACTGTGAATCAAAACCAACTCCTCCGAAGTTAGCAGCTTAGCTGGGGCAACTGTGAGAAAAATCAAGCCCTACATAGCTCATATCCAGCTCAAAGGCCATCACCAAGGCATTCCAATAGTGAAAGACCTGACCAACAGAATGGGTAAAAATCACAATTAACACACCCCAGTCCCCCCATTTCTTAACTCACTACTCCTCTCAGCAAGCCCAGGAGCAGGCTGTTCACACCTGCGGGTGCACCCCATGATAAACAGCGTGAAACGATGGAGACAAGACAAAAGTTACAAAGGCTACATTCTACACTGTGACAGGACACCGAGACACATACAGTGCCAGCTCCTACCTGGAACATGGAAATGTTTAGGGGCCTGAGCGTAAGTTGGAGTGAGAGGGCGGCTGTCGGGCCGATAGGGGACAGGGGAGTTCCGACCGCTGGACGGCTCATTGCCTCCAATGAAAGAATGGAGAAAACAAAATGAGAAGAGGGAGAGCAATAAAAAAAAAGTAAGCCCAATCAAACCCAAACAAAATCGGTGGAATCAAAACCTCAAGGGAAAAAAGAAGTTGAACAAAAAATATAAATACAAACAATAACGAGAACTGGTAGCCCTGGTGACATTTTTTCCCCCCTGATATTCCTGCAGAGACAAATATTCATGTTCAGGCTAGAGTTGAGGTTTCAGCAGCTCAGACTTATTCTGACAGCATGCAGGCAGGAGCTGTGTGCTCGCAGCTGGTGCAGATGGGTAGCGTGGAAAAGAAGAATGGAAGGTTACTTGTCAATGACTTAGCACAAAGATTGATATTTGGAGTTAAAAGTTGCAGGCACAGAGTATAGTAGTTGATATGCAAACCTGAAATGAAACCAACTCCCAAGCAGATAGAAGCAGATGCCGGCAGTTACTATAGTTCCCTAAACCAAAAGCATACAGAAGATAAAGATGGAGAACAGCTGTTAGGCCACTTGGCCCATATCAAAAGGCATACCTGTTCTATACACACTATTTCATTGGTTTAGCTCTCTGGTGGAGAATTTTTGATATAGCAAAATAATTTGTAAAGCAATGCAGCCCATCTGGTGGCTGTGCCCATACCATTGGTTCCACCTCAAATCTCTGTCTATGGCAAATTTGGCTCTGGTGACATTAACTCATCACTGCTGATTTAGCAAATCTGAATCTAATGTCTAAAAATTTAAGTTTCATTTTGCATGCACAGTTTGTTCCATTTGTAGGATTACTCTCACCAGGACCGTTTCTTTGCCTCCTAACAACCCTCCACAGCAATCCAACGGCCCTGCAAGTTCCTCTGTCAGGGACAGAGGGCTGTTGCAGAACCATGCTGGTTGATCCCCAAGCATCAAGACTTAACAGCCAGATATCCAAACACATGACTGTGTGTATCATAAAAGAATGTTGCTGCCTTTTACTCTGTGCCATTCTTCACACTAGTGCAAACTTGCACAAGCAAAAACTGTCCACATGGGTGTTTATTTTACATGGGTGTGAGTGACCACAAGGGTGAAAAGTAGGGGAGCATCAAATCCCTTCCATTTTTCAGGTATGCAGAAGGGTTTAAAAAAAAACCTAGAAAAGCTGATTAGCAAAGCAAGTTAAAAAAAAGTGGAGGGGCCAAGGGAAACAAGTACAGGAGGGCTATAAAACACAACAAAAAAAACCTGCAGGCCTCCTTTCAGGTACCAGTTTCCTATATCCCATTAGAGGACCCGAAACCTTGGGACTTGGCACACTTACTTATATACTGGGGGTTATCTGTCAATCTAAAAGGCACCAGGGAGGGAGAAAAAGAAAATGCTCTTTACAAACCTCGCTGAGAGAGATATGCCACAGAGGCCTCTGCCAGTATACAAGTTAATCCATCTGCACATACATGTTTTAAAAATTACATGCACAATTCAGGGCGCTTGGCTGTACAAAATTTGTTCAGAAGAATGCATGTGCAAAATTCTGTATTTACCACTCAGATATTTCAGCCCTGAGTGACTTAACGTACATGATATCCCCCAAACACGATGTACTTTCAACCACGTATGTTGATGGTGGTTTTCTATTTTGGGTGCAGCAATGCTGAGCTTCTGGCCAGGTAACAATAAGTGCTAGGTTTACTAACTGTGAAAAGCAGTATGAATGATTATTTAAAATAATATTGTCATATCTCAATATATGATCTTTACTTGGCAATTCCAATATTATGTTCTACTTGTCCAGCCCTTGAAATACTGTCATGGTGAAACACCTAACTTGGTTAAGCTGATTTCACTCCTGTTTTTTGTTTCTATTGAGAAATGATGAGTCACTTTTCAGCAAAATTATTGTTTTGTAGGGAAAAAAAATCAGTATTGAGATGGCCTCAAGATATTAATTCTAAAATGTACGACCTTTATAGAGACATGTCATTCTGCCTTTCTGCTCCCATTAGCCATTAGTATATTCAATAAAATAGAAGAATCAAAAGGGGTTTATTGATCTGTGGACTGTCATAACAGAGGAGTCACAAATACACTTTACCTGTTGGGAATTGGTAGTAAAAATGGGGGCATGTTCAATTTAAAACACCTCTACCACCAACACTACAAATACAAGGAGGAAACCCTTCTTATCTCCCACCCCTTTATCTCAACTAGACACAATTAAGTGTGCTCACATCCATAAATGTACACTGGTTAATCTTTTATTTGGTACACAGATAATTTGTTCACAGAGAACTGGCAATGTTGTATAACACATACAGTACAAGGCAGACAATTAGCATGGTATCATCCTGCCTGTGTTGCTTTACAGAGGCCTCTGTTGGCTTTTATTTCCTGGCGTTCCTGTGCAGCCTCTCTCTTCCCAGTGACTCCTACCATACCGACAAATGACTCTACACTTACTAGGATGGCAGTCTCGTTACCTCCAACCACCGCGGGAGGGAACGGTACATCTACTTAGATTCTCATTAGATCATCCCTGATGAGCTCACTCTAATAATGAGGCTTAAGTGCTTCAGATGCTGCTGTAAAATCACCCGCAGTTTATGAAAGCAGTGCCAACATCCGTGGAAGGTGTACCGGCACACAGGAAAGCAGAGCTGCTAGCCTGCCTGTACCTGCCTCCCAGGGCCTCACGGCCGGCCCGCGTGCAGCTTTACATAAAAGCAGCAGCTGTACGTGCTTTGAATTTGGGTTCCTTGCTGTGCCTGCAATCTGCCTACTCTCTCAGATATGCCATAACTAGTGTTAACTCCACATAGCAACAAGAGTACTCCAGTTCAACAACACTGTAGGAAAAACTAGCTCTCACACCCCTGACATGAAGTTGAATATGTGCATGTGTGTAGGTGGGTGCCGGATGTTAAGAGATAACGGAGTAAGTTTAATATAAAAATCAACCACTTGAGCACAGCAGCCTCAGAAGTGAAATTCAGAGGCTTGTTTTCTTTGATTCTGTTTGCTCCATCAGGTAGTTCCCTTTTTCTATAGCTTTATTTGTTAAGCGGGCTCCCCTAGCAGTCAGGAATGTAATTGCTTGCCTATACACAGTCCATGCAGGTTCCTGCTGCCTTCTGAAGTGTTCACCACCGGGCTCACTGTGTGATTCACAAGCCAAGTTCACAAATCAGGCCAAAAAACCCATATGCAGCCAACACTGAGCCTTCTTTCAACTTGCAATTTCATTGCTCTACTTCTGAACATAGGAAAAAGAGCTCAACAGCACCTGAAACTCTAAGTCCTATTCAGGTTTTGTCAAACTATAATTCATCATCTTGTCCAGATATGTAGCTCACATTTCCAGCACAAAACTGAATGCCATGAAACAGCCAAAGCATGGCTGTTTTCCAGAGCAGAGCTTTCAGCTGCATCCACAAAACCCTGGAAAGAGTTATCACACACAGAGAGCATCTGATTTGAGACCTGCCTCAGGGAAGGAAAGCAGGAACCTGTGAAAACCAAGGCCAAAATTCACTAGGAAGGTGGGTAGATTCCTTATGGGAAGGTCTGTGAGCAGAGGAATACACACTACTTTGGAGCTCTTTTTACATGGAAGTCTTATGGGAGCTTTGCAATATTCTTGAATGCCTCTGAAAAATTCTAGGCATGTGAGATGAAATCCAGGCTCTCAATGAGAGTTTTGTCTCTGATTTCAGTAGGGTCAGGGTTTCTTTCATTCATGGACTTGTTTTGATTCTTTCATAGCAAAGACAGTACTTTATTGAGACAAGACCAAATTCAATGGAGAGTCCAAATGAGATTAAATGAAGTCTAAGCTGACGCATATTACACCCTCTTCCAGCTTGTTCAACATATATGTGACATTAACAAACTCTCACTAAGACTTCCTGAGGCATTATCTAGTCCCTTCACTCCTCAAAGTTCTTTACATTTGGCCTCGTCTACAAGGCTTGAGCATTCCACTTGTTTAAGCATTATGCTGCATGAAAACACACTGAAACTAGTCTAAATGTCTACTTTTCTGGCTTGAAGTAACACAGACGTAATATGTCATATGCCACTTTCATTATCATTATACTGTTAGAAAATTATGCTCCTTTACCTAAAGAAAAAAACCCCACAACGATACAGCTTTATGAAATCTTTCTTACAAACTTACTCCAAGTTCACCTTCCTGCTATAAGTTCAAGTGGCTTTAAGAAAGGCTGGCCAAGTACAAACGAGATCACAGGATGCCTTTTCTTTGAATCACTGCAAATTTATCTATCACATCCAATTAACCCTCACATTGCCATAGTTCTCATTTCAGATATATTCACAAGGGTCTAACTCCCTAGTAGACATAAAAATGCTACTCTCAATGGTAAAATAATGCAGTTCTTTTGGCTTTGAAAACAGACACCTAGAATACCCAAGACAAAACCCTACAGATAACAGTATCAGGGAGTTGCATTAGGTACAGCCAGTGCCAGACTAATCTTTTTTCTGCTGCACAGATGTAAAAAGGGGGTACTTGGACACATGTGATACTCATGGAGGACAAATGAAGAACCACGTGGGAAATCCAGATCAACCTCATCAGTTGATAACAAAATCTATTTATGAACATGAAGTAACGAAGAGCACATACAATATTGTGCAACTGGACTTCACTCAACGCTACTCAAATGTTAAAAAAACCCTTTCCCCCAATTGTATACTGCGCAAGCTATAGTATCTCTCCCTATGAAAACACTTACACCTACATGTTTTCATAGTAGAGAGGTTTATTTAACAGAAATATTACCAGTCTCTATCATCTTGTCTCTCTTTAAGTGCATGTGCACTGCTAGTACATATATGCATATATATACTATGTGTATTTTCAGAGTATATCTGATTAAGAACTATCTTCCATCATATTCCTTTTACAGGACAAGACAAAGCTTGCTCCGACTTAAGGAACATTACAAATATTTGTTTGTCTAATGTTTTGTGGGCACTTCGTTAATCACTTA